CTTTAAGGTGTTACAGCCTTTCACCAACTTTGAAGAGGAACCCCTACGTACCACGTGTGCAATCAACCAGTTACACACCTGGACTTCACAGGGTCAACTTCTCTTGTTCTGATCTGACCAATAAATACTATGATTAGAGAAGTGATGTCCTGGACTGCCAGTGTCTGGTACATTAAAGTTGTTCACACACACACACACAGCACATAAGACCGTCTGTCACAATTATAACGTAAAAAATCTAACTCACCTTAAACAAGGATATTTTTTTACATTGTCTAAGGACCAACAGATAACTATGTGGCTCCCACTACATGCAGTTATAGTTTAAGGTTAGGGTTAGGGTTAGGTTAGGTTAGGTTAGGTTAGGTTAGGCTAGGCTAGGCTAGGCTAGGCGAGGCTAGGCTAGGCTAGGCTAGGCTAGGCTAGGTTATGTTAGGATCCCAGGGATAATAAGTTAACAGTGTCTTAGCTTAGATAATTATCTTTAGTGTAATTGTTTTGGTTTGCTAGATGTATTACCTACCCTCACTATACATAATCAATAGGATGTTACCTACACTTACTATGTATATTTAATAGGTTAAGTGAAATAAAGATAAAGAGCTATAGTTTTGGATATTATTGACTATACATTAATATGTATAATATGTATTAAAGTAAGCTATATTATAGGAGTGAAAGGAAGATATTGTTTATTATTGTATTGAAATGTTAATGATGGTGTTTACTTTCTTATGCGAAGTTCATTTTGGTACATTTTAAATCAATTAGTTTTAATAAGACACGTTTGTTATTTATAAAAAAATACAATTATTTTTATTTTTTTACATTTTTTTATTTTATATTTTTTATTACATTTTATTTATTTTTTTTATATTTTATTTGCCTCACTCGGCCTCCTCTTCGTATGGGACGGCTCTTGGGTATTTATTTAAGGCCGCTATCCCCCCAAACGTACTTACCAGCATGTTTGTATTATTAGTTGTGTTGGGTATCACAAGTAATTCGGTCTCCTCGGGACAGTTTTCTGCGAACCAGGCGACTTCAGGGGACTCGTCCCATAGCACTACAACTTGGACGGCACCATCCTCCATGGCCGCTCGAACTTCATCACCAAAGCAGACCATGTCCGGTTCATCGACCCTGAGTTTTTCAAATATGGAGCTGAGGACAGTGTTAGACTTTTCCAAAAGCATGTGCTGGCGGAGGTCCCGTGTGGCATTGATGGCCTCCCTCAGCCCTTGACGGCCGGAGTATGAGGTGTTTTCTACACGTCTTACAGCACCCTTCAAGAGCTGGGGGAGACGCTCCACCAACTGGTCCTTCAGCTGACCAGGACCCCCTACCACCAGGGCCTGCACCTGCACGGTCGCCTTATTTTCATCCAGATAAAACTGTTCGCTGAGAGCAATTACTTTCTTCACCAGCAATTGCCTCTTTTCCAGGCGGATGCGCTAGAACCTGGGAGCGGACTGGCCACCTCTCCCGTGCTTTTTTGGAATGTCCACGTTCTCATGGTGGTGGACCTTTAGTCCATTTTCAGAGAGGGTTCCAAGGGCAACTGCTGACCCATCGAGGATGATGTAGCCAACGCCTCCCTCTTGGGAGACGAGTAGTTGGTGCAGTGAGTGTGTGGAGAATGTCTTGCTAACATCGTATTTAAAATCTTGGACTGGTTGAGGAGGTGTTAACGTCCGGCGAAGGCGACTCACCTCGCCGGTTGCTTTGTTGAGAACTGATTGGCCATAAAACACTAAAAGCCCATGGGATGGCATGACATTGACGGTGGATACAATATCCACAGTACTCTTCAGTGCTTCTTGCACTGAAGAGCGGTTGGAAACGGACTTTATGTTGGCCGCACGGCTTTGTTCATCCTTGAGTCTATTTTTTACGAGTATCAGGGAGGAAGATGATGGGAGGTGAAGGCTTAATACAGATGAGGTCCGGAGAGCCTCTACATTCTCCAACTCCTTGAGAGCTGCTCTGAACTGGATCACTTGCATTCGATCCATCTTAAACTTGATAATAATATCTGGTTCTTCTGGTGACCTAAACTTGAGATTTAGGGAGAGATAAAATAATGAGGTTGGAATTTTGTTCCTCAGCCTCAAACTGAACATGTTATAGTAAAGTAGTAGTAGTAGTAGTTGAGATGCTGTAGTAATATAGTAAAGATATTGCAGTAGTAGTTAAGATGCTGTAGTAATATAGTAAAGTAGTAATAGTAGTAGTTGAGATGCTGTAGTAATATAGTGAAGATATTGTATGAATGGTGTTATATGTAGTGATGATGGATGGTGTTATATGTAGTGATGATGGATGGTGTTATATGTAGTGATGATGAGTGGTGTTTTATGTAGTGATGATGGATGGTGTTATATGTAGTGATACTGGATGGTGTTATATGTAGTGATGATGGATGGTGTTATATGTAGTGATGATGGATGGTGTTATATGTAGTGATGATGGGTGGTGTTTTATGTAGTGATGATGGATGGTGTTATATGTAATGATGATGGATGGTGTTATATGTAGTGATGATGGATGGCGTTATATGTAGTGATGATGGATGGTGTTATATGTAGTGATGATAGGATGATTTTATATGTAGTGATGATGGATGGTGTTATATGTAGTGATGATGGGTGGTGTCATATGTAGTGATGTTGGATGGTGTTATATGTAGTGATGATGGGTGGTGTCATATGTAGTGATGTTGGATGGTGTTATATGTAGTGATGATGGATGATGTTATATGTAGTGATGATAGGATGGTTTTATATGTAGTGATGATGGATGGTGTTATATGTAGTGATGATGGGTGGTGTCATATGTAGTGATGTTGGATGGTGTTATATGTAGTGATGATGGATGATATTATATGTAGTGATGATAGGATGGTTCTATATGTAGTGATGATGGATGGTGTTATATGTAGTGATGATGGATGATGTTATATGTCGTGATGATAGAATGGTTTTATATGTAGTGATGATGGATGGTGTTATATGTAGTGATGATGCATGATGTTATATGTAGTGATGATGGTTGGTGTTATATGTAGTAATGCTGGATGGTGTCATATGTAGTGATGATGGATGGAGTTATCTGTAGTGATGATGGATGATGTTATATGTAGTGATGATGGGTGGTGATATATGTAGTGATGTTGGATGGTGTTATATGTCGTGATGGATGGTTCTATATGTAGTGATGGTGGATGGTGTTATATGTAGTGATGATGGATCGTGTTATATGTAGTGATGATGATGGATGGTGTTATAAGTAGTGATGATGGATGTTATATGTAGTGATGAAGGATGGTGTTAGTGAAGATTGTGAAGTGGGATGTAGTGAAGATTGTGAAGTGAGATGTAGTGAAGATTGTGAAGTGGGATGTAGTGAAGATTGTGAAGTGAGATGTAGTGAAGATTGTGAAGTGAGATGTAGTGAAGATTGTGAAGTGAGATGTAGTGAAATTGTGAAGTGAGATATAGTGAAGATTGTGAAGTGAGATGTGAAAGTGAAAATTTGAAATTGAAGTTGAAAAATTGAAGATTACCCAGAAGTGAGATGTAGTGAAGATTGTGAAGTGAGATGTAATGAAGATTGTGAAGTGAGATGTAGTGAAGATTGTGAAGTGAGATGTAGTGAAGATTGTGAAGTGAGATGTAGTGAAGATTGTGAAGTGAGATGTAGTGAAGATTGTGAAGTGAGATGTAGTGAAGATTGTGAAGTGGGATGTAGTGAAGATTGTGAAGTGAGATGTAGTGAAGATTGTGAAGTGAGATGTAGTGAAGATTGTGAAGTGAGATGTAGTGAAGATTGTGAAGTGAGATGTAGTAAAGATTGTGAAGTGAGATATGGTGAAGATTGTGAGTGAGATGTAGTGAAAGATTGTGAAGTGAGATGTAGTGAAGATTGTGAAGTAAGATGTATTGAAGATTGTGAAGTGAGATGTAGTGAAGATTGTGAAGTGAGATGTAGTGAAGATTGTGAAGTGGGATGTAGTGAAGATTGTGAAGTGAGATGTAGTGAAGATTGTGAAGTGAGATTTAGTGAAGATTGTAAAGTGAGATGTAGTGAAGATTGTGAAGTGAGATGTAGTGAAGATTGTGAAGTGAGATGTAGTGAAGATTGTGAGGTAAGATGTGGTAAAGATTGTGAAGTGAGATGTAGTGAAGATTGTGAAGTGAGATGTAGTGAAGATTGTGAAGTGAGATGTAGTGAAGATTGTGAAGTGAGATGTAGTGAAGATTTTGAAGTGAGATGTAGTAAAGATTGTGAAGTGAGATGTGGTGAAGATTGTGAAGTGAGATGTAGTGAAGATTGTGAAGTGAGATGTAGTGAAGATTGTGAAGTGAGATGTAGTGAAGATTGTGAAGTGAGATGTAGTGAAGATTGTGAAGTGAGATGTGGTGAAGATTGTGAAGTGAGATATAGTGAAGATTGTGAAGTAAGATTATAAAGTAAACTGTAGTAATTGAGGTTAAACGAACGCGGGTTATTCTGTAGTGTATCCGTGTCTTGTTAACGTGGAACCAACATGGCGTTGGTTCTCAATATAGATACGTTATTTTGCCGGGAATTTCTGTCAAAACGAATTATGAATCAACCATATTTAGCCTAAATTAACCAGGCGGCTTTATTATATATTCTAAGGTGTTTAAGTTGGATAGATCAGATCAGGTTAGGTAAAGTCAGGTTGGGTTAGGTTAGGTTAGTTTTGTTAATTTTGCCAGTTAGAGGCTAGTTTATTGTGCCCCCCATACTCATCCTGTGAGCGGTAGTGCAAAGAGATTACAAAGTGGTGTTAGATGAGGTAGGTTGTTAAGTTAAGTTTCAATAGGTTAGGTTAGATTACGTCAGGTTGGATTAAGTTAAGTTGAAGTGGGCAATAGAAATGAATGGAGTTCGGTCGGCGGGTGGGAAAGTTAGGTTAGTTAGGTTGGGATTGGAATTGGGTTTAGGTTAGGTTGGGTTAGGTTGTGTCAGGTTAGGTAGAGCTGGGTAGAGGTGGGTAAGGTTAGGTTTAGATTATGTCAGAAGTTAGGTAAAAGTAGGTAGGGGGTTGGTAAAAAGTTTGGGATTCAAGGCGCGTTTTTAGTGTAGGAAGCAGTAATCCCGTAAAAATTTAATATTTAATTTGACACCATACATCATAATAATCCTTATAAATTATATTAAGGAACTGTGGTGTCATTTTTTCTGAATGGTTTATTATAAGTTTTATGCCATTAAAGAAGTTTTATCAAAGAGCGGCGTAATGAACCACAGACGTATTACCATTAAGTCCTAAGTAACTTAAGACATGACTAATAACCTATGAACATGTAGTATTATATGATTACAATTTAACATAATATATTATGAATGCTGTTATAATATCTTAGGTATATTATTACAAACATGGCTGCTCATATGTACCATCACCTGTCTCTGGCAAAGAAGAATTTTGATAAAGTAATAATAACACTTCAAGAGACAAATACCTGGAAATTAAACATATACATGTACCATTATCTGAAAACTGGAACCACCCGTTTTTATATTTTATTAAAAGTTTGTGAGTGTTATATATCATGTATACCAGAAGTCTACAAGTTGTATTTACGACATTGCTTCCAGTCCCCTCGTCATCAGAATCTTCTGTGTACAACGAATTCCTTCACCTTGTTTGCGACATTTCTCATCATCTGCTTGACAGTTACACATCTCGGTGCATGTCATGCTATTCTTTCTGATTCTTCCTGTATGAACATGACAATGATCCACATTTCCTGACGCCACATCCACATTTAACAAGTTCTGTGATTGCTTCTGGAGCTGGTGGTTGGTCTGATATTACTAGTATAAAACAGTCATTGTCAATCTTCCAGCCATGCTCTAATTGTGAAAGCATTTCACTGTCTGCATCACAAGACCACAGAAGAGCTTGATACCTTCCTCTCAATATATGATACTTTAGAGTTGCTGCAGTCGCTGGTAGTTCTCAGTAAACAGGCTTAAATACAAATTCCTTTAGACCAATAAACATGTCTGCTGGAGGACATTTGGTCTACTCAGCATCTTGAATGCATCTAGGACTTTTGTGTTAGATTTCATCAAAGTGCTCCAACATGCTTTCTTTCCTTTGCCAACAAATTTTCCAATGCAGTCAGATCCTGTGAAGGCATGGAAACCTGTAAGGCTCTCTGCCCAATGTGTCGTCACTCACCAGTTCCTGTTATCATACTTGTATTTTCTCCAAGTTGAGGCTGCTTTAATATGCCAAACACATCAGTGTCTGGTGACTTGATATGTACAGTGCTGCCCTTCTGTGATGCATATACTGTATGTCCTGCTTAAGTTCTATAACTTGTGATAGCAATTTGATGGTTGAAGTCTTATTTGCTGCTTTCCACGACAAAAGATTAACCTTGGACATCTTTTCCCAGATGCTCAATGGACCAACAATACGTTCCTTGACAAAATTTTCATAATTTTGTCTTCCAACTTCATATGCACATAGATTGTCATATTTGGCATTTTCTGGCATTACAGCTCCAGTTACCAAGTTTATAAGAGCATCATTTTCCTGGGATTACAGTCACCAATAACATTGTATAGCTTCTGTACATCAGCATATTGACAGCTGACAATAGCTGTAGAGAGCTCATGGTGTTCTGTTCTTTTGTAATCTTTATGAGTTTGATATTTTATGTAATGAACTTAATTTGAAAACCCAAATGGTAGTATATGATCTTTTATCACCTTAAGACACTCTGTGCGTCATGCCTCTCAAGTGATTTTTTTCCTCTTTTACTTCTCTGGACAAATACGACCCATCAGAAAAAATATCACCATATATTTTCTTAATCTACAGGTGCCAAGGTTTAAAATGACGGATGGTGTTAAAATTAGCAGAAAGTTTTAAATGACACATCTTTTATTGGGTTTTCTAGAAGAACTTCACAGCTAAATAAGCGCCTATGTATTGATAGCTGGGCTGTGTCGTAATATCCACCGCTCA